AAATTGGATGTTAAAAATCCAATGATGGTCAGAGGGAGGCTGAAATACCTCCATGAATTTTTCCGACTCCTCGAAAAGATGAACTGTTGTAGCAAAGCCACCATCTGGTCCCTATTTTGGATGAATAAAATTTCAATTGTGTCCAAGTTTTATATATTTTGACCATCCTTTTAGTTTGAATCTAATCACTTCCCAATTCCAAAACAAGGAAAATAGTGATTAATTGTAGAAAAAAAGTTTATAGCTACCAAACCAAATATATAGTCTAATTAGATGTTTAAATTAAACTAAATATTATATAAGGGGACTTTTCAAATCACTTGTCAAAAAGAAAAAATGTTTGCAAACCTAAATTTGTTACAAAAAAGATTTTTGATTGGCTAATAGTTTAATTAGATGTTATGTCTAGTAAAGTATTTGACAAAGAACATGTACTACATCATTATGAATACGACCATTGTGAAAATTCCAAGGAACTTTTCAATTCCATCTCTCATGGAAGTTTCATGAAAAAATGTTTGCAAACCTAAATTTGTTACAAAAAAGATTTTTGATTGGCTAATAGTTTAATTAGATGTTATGTCTAGTAAAGTATTTGACAAAGAACATGTACTACATCATTATGAATACGACCATTGTGAAAATTCCAAGGAACTTTTCAATTCCATCTCTCATGGAAGTTTCATGGAAGTTTAAGGCCAATGGAAGTGATGTCACATCCCAGATCCGCTCCGCCGTAGCACGACATTGTCTGTTTTGGGCTACGCCCTCATGGTTTTGTTTATGGGAACTCATACGAGAACTTCTCAGTAGGTCACCCATCCTAGGATTGCTCTCACCCAAACTTGCTTAACTTCGAAGTTCCGATGGAAACCGAAGCCAGTGAGTTCTCAAAAGGGCTCGTGCTATAGAGAGGGGAGCATGTATATATAAGGCACATCACCCCCTCTCCGTTAGTCGATGTGGGATGTTACAGGTGTTGTTAGCAAGTGGTGGAATGTAGTGGTGAATAGAATTTTTCTATTTAATCTACTACGTTATTTTCAACTCTCTCATCTCTATAATTTAGTTGAATTACGTTCGTTTGCAAGTTTTTTAAAATGATTAAAATCGATTTTGGTAAAAATATTTTATAACCAATCTTCAATAAAAATATAAATGAATTTAAAAAAAAAAAACAATTGAAGTACTTCATGTAAGAAGTACATAACTGATATTTTATTTTTTCAAAAAAAAACTTGAAATCCTCTCGAAATCCAAAACAATTTTAGTCAAAGCCGTTTTCAACCATTGCAAAACACTTCAACCGAGCTTTATCATAGATTATTCAATTATTGTTTTTAGAAATTATCAATAACTCCAAGGAGAATTATGAATAAATAAATTGATTGAAAAAAAAAAAAAAAAAAAAAAAAAAAAGGATTCGAAGGTGATTCGGCTGAACAATCGGGCGCGTACTGGGCCTGCACCTGCTGGCCTAAAGCTCAATCGGGGGTCCACGGTGAGTCCTTTGACCAGTGCTTTCCTCTCACCCCAAACCACTAGAGCCGGAGAGCATTTCCCACTTAAAATTAAATTAAATCAAACAAAAAACGTTATCAAGAATTAAAAGTTAATTTAATTAATTAATATCATTATTTAACTCTCAATCAATTAATAACTGATTCTCTTCAAATCAATCTCGCGGGCCCCACGCATTGGCTTGTCTTTTGCTGTATATAAGTCCCTCCCGACGCCATCGTGCTCGCCCTTCATCTCCACACTCACACAACACACAAACATCCAACCATACGCAGAGAGAGAGAGAGAGAGAGAGAGAGAGCGCTTGGATTATGTGAAGGTTCTGCAGAAGAAGAAGAAGAAGAAAGCTAAACATGGAGGCGGCAACGCCGCAAATAAAAAGGCTCAGAAGCTCCCGGAGATCGACCACCGCCGCGAAGTCGGATTTCTTCGACGGCTTGCCCGAAGATCTCGTCGTATTCATCCTCTGCAAGCTCAGCTCCTCCGCTTCCTCGCCGTCCGATCTCATCAGCGTCCTCATCACGTAAGCACTGTGAGAACTCGGATTTCTTTTCTTTTTTCCTCTTGGTTTAGATGAAGGTGTTAATTTTTTAATTTTGGAAAATTATATAAATTTTAGGTGTAAGAGATTGAACCGGTTAGGACTCCACTCCCTGGTGCTATCAAAAGCCGGTCCAAAAGCATTCGCAATCCGGGCCAAAAACTGGTCCGATTCGGCTCACCGGTTTCTCAAACAGTGCGTTAGCGCCGGTAACGTCGAAGCCTCCTACACTCTCGGAATGGTCAGTCACTTAAATTTATCTATTTTTATTTGAACTTTTATTTTTATTTGTTTTGTAATTTTTAAAAATAATTTTGCGCTTTTGTTGCTACAGATCCAATTTTACTGTTTACAAAACCGAGCAAGCGGAGCCTCGCTCATGGCAAAAGCCGCTATGAGAACCCACGCGCCGGCGCTGTACTCGCTAGCGGTGATTCAGTTCAACGGCAGCGGCTGTTCGAAGAAAGGGAAGGACTTAAGAGCCGGCGTGGCATTTTGTGCGCGAGCCGCTTCGCTCGGCCTCGTGGACGCACTCCGCGAGCTCGGCCATTGCCTCCAGGACGGTTACGGAGTCAAGCAAAACGTCGCCGAGGGACGCCGATTGCTGGTCCAGGCCAACGCGCGGGAGCTCGCGTCCGTTCTACGTTCTTCCGCGGCGTGGCGGTCCCACCACTACCAGCACTTCTACGCGTGCTTGACAGGGCTGGTCTGCTGCCCTCTGCTGAGCGACTACGGATGCAACGTCCCCGTCCAGGAGTTCCACCCCGTAAACCGGTTCATGAGGGAGTGGTTCGGGTCGGGTCGGTTGATGGCGGGGCAGGGTATGAGGCTGTGCTCTCACATGGGGTGCGGGCGGCCGGAGACGAGGCCGCACGAGTTTAGGAGGTGCTCGGTTTGCGGGACGGTGAATTATTGCTCGCGTGGGTGCCAAGCGCTGGACTGGAAGCTGAGACACAATGTGAAGTGTAAGCCAATGGAACGGTGGCTGGCGGTTGACGGTGCGGCGGAGGAGGAGTTGGGGGGACTGGTGGAGGGTGGGGAAGGTGAGAATGTGGCTGTTGGATAATAAATTGATATATTTAATGGAAATATAAAAAAGAAAAAAATTTAATTAATTTCGATGCCTTTTTTTTTTTTTTGGTTATTATGGGTAAAATTACATATATGTACATTATACAGTATGCAGAAAGGGCAATTAGCATTTTATGTTGGACTTGTTAACAATCTGTCAAGTTAGTTGGGTGTGGGGGAAATTCGTACTTACATTTACAAACCCCACAAAAACATGCATGCAAATTGCAATGCCTATGGAGTTATTTTATTTTATGCTGTCATTAGTGTGTTTTTAAATAATTAAGGGCAATATGATTTATTAGATTTTGTTGACTGTTGTTAACTTATCCTAAAAAGCGTTAACCTAAAATTGGAATGGGAGGAATCAATACTTGTGCATATATAGGGTATCAAAAGTAACAGGCTCTTCGTGCAAAAAGATTCTCATATTTTTTTTTTCTAAAAAACAGAGATTAGGTGTGGAACCTATTACACAATGAATTTCAACGATTCGAACCGTCTACTTTATAAGTTTTGATTCATAGATCATCCTTGCAAAAATTCAATGCAATCCAAAATCATTTGCCTATTTAATTATCAAGATAGAATTTTTATTGTTTTTTATATAACTAAGTATTCGTTAATTTTTTTGAACCAAGTTAGATGTCTTAAACATTTCCAATTTGACTAATATTTTGCAAGGATTATCTATGCAACTTGAAAAATAAATGGTTCGAATCATTGAAATTCGATGTCATGTGGACCCCACAACTAATCCCCATTTTTATAAAAAAAAAAGAAAAAAAATGAGGATCCCTTCCCTTAAAAGCTTTCTAGAAATAAAATCATTTACTTGTGACTGTTTTTCTATTTATTTATGTTGTACTATTTAATGTTGTCGTGTTTCTTTTTTCTTCGTTTTGATTTCTGAGTTTCTTATGTCTACTAAAATATATGAATGGGTATTAGTTTATTTTTAAACTTTCTCATGTTAAGACGTAAGGAATCAGAAAATTGTTGATTTTTCTTAAAATCCGTAATCAAATATCTAAATATTAGAAATCGGTCAACTAGGGCGCTAGTTAATACAATTTCTTTTGCTTACTTTTCCTATTTTTAAGTTCTCTCGTTCCTTCCTCATTCTATTTCTATTAAGTACACGTGTTACCAACAATTTTATTAAAATGGTTGTTTGATAATCATTTCGTTTTCATTTTTTAGTAATGATTTTCAATTTAGTATTTTTTTTAACTGAAATTTGTTCTATAATTACTTTCAGTTTTCAAAAAAAATGAAAACTTAAAAACCAAAAAGTGGAATTCAAGGCCAAAATTTGAAACTATTTTGATTAGTTTTAAAAAATGTGGAAACAAAAACGTAAAAAACTAAAAAAAAAATGATTATCTCCTTATTTTCTCACGCACCTTATGTTACTTTATCATCTATAATTTTTGTTATGAACTACTGATTTTCACCCATCATTTACTGGCCAACCCTTGCAATGGATCAAATGTCAAAGGTGTTCAAAATGATTTAATGAAATTAACCATTCTTACCAGGAATCATAATTTTATCTTCAGTTTAATTGACAAAATTAAGCTTTTGTTTTTTCAATTTCGTTTTCATCGTAGGCCAGCCACCCACAGAGGGATTTAGGAATTAGGATCCCAATTTCTACATTACTTTCCGTCCATGTACCATCTTAACTTGTAAGCATGTGCGATAATACCACCTAAACTTTCAACTTTTATTTCTTACCACATGTGTTATCTTAATTGTTGGAACCTACCACCTAAGTTATTTTCCGTCAATTTTGCCGTTAATTGTAAGGGACAATTAAAAACCCTTATTCCCTTCTATCTCCTCCTAAAACCAACATAAATGGTGTTTCGATACATGTTTTCATATATTCCAAACTTCCCGCAGAAATATTGAAATCGGAAGATGAAAAGTCACTTCCACAAGAAGATCACAATGGGTTGCTAGCAGAGCAGAGTGCAGAATTGAATATAAACATTGTACCTACAAGTGATTCATGATTCAAGAGACAACCAAAAAACAGATGCGTACAGAAGCGAGGCGAAAAGGTGTTACCGCGAGCATGAAGATCCGTTTCCTGACCTGCAATTTGAGACGCAACAACACAGATATCAGTTAAGTTTTCGGCACCTGTATTATGTAAAAAGGATTTGCAGGTTCACTCAATTGGATAACACTTTGGAGGTTCACGCAAGCAATCTCATAGACGCATTAGCATTATAAAGGCCAAATTAGCGAAACTATTAGGGACCGCTCATCGAAACAAGGAAACGCGAAGCTCAATAGATTAAAAGCGTACGTTTCTAATTGTAAACAGCATATGCTAAATCAAAATGAATTTGATAGAACAGTTCAAGAAATAAATGAGACATACTTTCACACCAGCCAACGATAGTAGTTTGTGGGAAGCAATGTAGGAGACATCTGGATTGTTTAACCTCTTTTCCACAAAATATACAACTTCAGCGACTCCTGACTGCAAATAAGAGGAAATTGGCAGGAAAAAGAAACTGTTAGACACTGGCAACGTACCAGATTGGACGTGCAAAGTGCAGTTTAAGTTATGCTCATTACTAGAGTTTTGGCGGGTTGGGAGGGACTACGAAGGGAGGGGAAGGCAGGAGGTGGGAAGAACATAAGCATGGTAGTTTCAAATTTGCATACCGTATATTACAAGCACAAAAAAAGCATAGGAAAAACCTGAATGATTATCTTGGCACACTCATTGCAGGGGAACATGGTCACATAAAGCCTCTGCAAAGAAATAGAGAATAAGCATTCACACAGTACTTTCAGTCACAGAGGGGAACAAAACAAAAGAACCACAAAAGAGAAAAGAAGTGAATATAGTCGACCATCATTTAAACTAAAGCACATTTTACGAGTTTGTACCGAAACAGTATCCACGTAAAAGTCCCTCAGGGATGATCCATTCGTCAAGTTGGTCGATGACAACATTTCAGTTCAGCAGATGGAGATGATATATTCATGGTAAATGGGAAAGGGAAAGTCTAATTAGAAGTAACCTGTCCAGCAGCAGAAGCAACATAACTTCAAAACAAAATCAGAAATACCAAGAGCAATAACCAGAGATTTGAAAGAAAATAAAAATTATTAGTAGGGGAAAAGGATAAATCAGTATACAATGAAGCACAGCCATTAGATATGATCATATGCGTGATAACGGTGGAAAGATAAATTTCACTAGTGCAGTAGAAAGAAGACAGATATTAGATGCCAAGTTGCCAACTTCAGAACAAGTTCAGAGCAAACAGCAGACCACGAATCAAGAAATTAATTTCGGAAAGCACAAACACTAACGGATACCTTGTCTCCAAAGGATCCCAAGTTCTGGATTTCTGAACAAGAAAGGACAGCTTTACTGATTACTACTCTGAGTACTCACCAGAGCATCATACAATCATTCTTTTTGCATTTTGCAATTTTATGAAATAACGTACATAAACCTTGCCCGAGGAAGCCTGTCATCCGAACAACCTCTCGGGAACCCATTATACCCAATTCCTGAAAAGAGATAAATTAGCTTGGAAGTCGAATGGAACTACATTTGTGGAAATTCAATGCTCATAAAAATCATAGACAAAGTAATGTACGATTCAATGTAACTTTGGATGTATAATTACACCATTTGGGAACCCATTCTTACCTAGAATTACACCATTTTCACTCACTAAGCAGGCTCCAACCTATACAAAACATACCACCAATCAATATGCTGTCTAACTCACCAAGTTCTTACCAAATACAAATCGAAAAAATTCGCAACACTCTCATTGCTAAATCTCAAAACATTTAATTCCTCCTCATTTATTCACGAATTCATCAGCATTCATGGAAAAAAAATAAAAAAGGAGCAGATAACAATGACCTGCTTGTTAGAGTTTTTGGATCTTTCCGCTGATAAAAATGCAATTGCCATGAAATAATCATCCCATGACAAATATCTGCAATCAAAACAAAAAAAATACAGTTAAAATTTAAAAAGCCAAAAATAATATGACTGAAATAACCATTTGTTACTTCAACACAACAGCCTGACCAAAAACAAAACTTGGAATTTTCGACACTAACCCTTGGCGCTTTGAAGGGTCAAAACGGCTCTGAGAAGGGCGTTTCCTGAAACGACGCCGTTTTTGGACAAATCGAGTTTGGCGGACTGCCTCTTAGGGTTTGAAAAGAAGAAGCGGCAAGTGAGCGCAGAGGCCAGGGCACCGAAAACGGCTGCCGTGGAGACCAGAGCGAGCTCGCGGCAGTTCATCGAGTTCGAAAGGGCGAAACTTCGGCTGCACTGTCACTTTCCCGAGAAGAATTCCAGCTTCGAGCTATGGTGGTAGAAGAAATAGCGGGAAAATTAGGTAGAGAACTGGGCTGAAGAAACCGAAACGCGCGGCAAAATGCGGTTGAGAAAGTTTTGTGGTTTGTTTAGAAATATGTAGCCCAATCCAATAGTCTTTCTTTAGGTGGGCTAAGCCCATATAGAATCTTTGTTGCAAAAATCTAAAACTTGTGGAGTAATATGTAAGCCCAATCCAATAGTCTTTCTTTAGGTTGGGCCCCAATTTTATTTTCAAAATTCTTATATTAAAGGACACAATTTGCTAGCTTGAAGAAGTAGCAACTGATACTGTAAATATACAATGCTAAATTTTTAAATTGCTAATTAGGTTGCTACCTTCGTTTGAGATGTATTTTTCTTACAGGGCATAGCAAATCTAACTTTGTTACCTAAATACTACCTCCCTTGGAGATGCTCTAAGCACATATGTTCATAATTTCCATAAGTGCCATGGAGCAAATATTTTCGGCCTCGATTTTTTTTTTCAATGACTCCTTAAATAATGGCACATCTTGTGATGTTTAAAAACGCAATGGAATGGTTTTCAACTTTTCATGACGTTTTTTCAGGCATCACGATAAGTGGTTTTCTTAGTAGTGGTTGTTTGTGTGCGATGGTCATTTCCCGAAGATTGTTAGAATGGATTCCAAGTCTAATACTTTAGGTATGATCTCAATGTTGTTTGGGCAAACTCTTAAAATTAATGGAGAAGATGAAATTCAAAATTGGGTACGGTTCATTTTATTTTGGAGAAGATGAAATTTAAGATAGTACAACACTCAAACAGTGTGAGATTCGAACTTAAGATATCTAATATAGAGACAAAAATAGAATATTCTAGCTCAAACTTGTTATGTACATGCATACGATAGATTATCAAACCGATAATTTAAGCATATTAAAAAATAAATATTCTTAATCATTTTAAACTACGAATCTCTGGCCGTCATTGTTGTTACTACTCAATAGTCATAAGGTGTAGGTCCTCCAAATTTACCGACATTTCGAAGGGGACACTCCCACTGTCCCACACTTGACTTACCATAGGATTGTCCTCCTAGACATTATCTCCCTAGGAATACTTTAGGGTTGAAATACGTGATAGAGGTGTAGGGATTAGGGTGGGGTGGGGTGGGGGACCCAAAAGAAGAAAAATTGATGAAGTTCTTAGTTGGAGGGCATGATAAATTAATCATTGTCCTAAAGTTTGAGTGAGCTCCATCACTACCCCCAAATGAGGTGGGTTAATTTGGGCAGATAGAAAGGGATGATACCTATAGATTAGCGGCACATACCCTTAGAAAAGCCCTCTCCAATTCCCAAACTTCCACATGCACCTTGCCCACCCCAAAACCTACCACTTTCCCTTTTAAAGAAAGAATAATGATTAGAAGACTAAATTTATAGACTAAATTTTGTAAACTAAATGGTATGAAAGTTGATGATTGAATTATTACTTAAATGTTGATAAACGTACTTATTTCCTACTGGTGACACATCATTTAGTTTGCAAATTTAGAAGGGGTGTATTCAATTGGGATTTTGAGGGATTTTAATTCTTTTAATGAATCTAGGTGTATTCAATTAAGATTTTAAGTGATTCTTTGAAATTCAATGTGTATTCAATCAAGATTTTAAGATAGTTTATTAAAATCCTTAGAAATCCGGGTGTATTCAATTATAATTTTAAAGAAGTTTATAACATTCCAGGTTTATTCAATTAGAATTAAAATTTAGAGAATTTGGAAAAGTTGAGGAATTAGAGGGAATTTGAGAGATTTTGTAATGTATTTTAAGTATCCAAATCTCACTTCTTCCCATGAGATTTCGAGGGAATTGAATTAAAATTTTATATGGAATTTCTACAAATCAGTTAAACTCCGTAAAAATCTATGGATTTATAAATCCATTAAAATCTCTCAAATTCTCAATTGAATACACCCCCCTTAATATATACATTTAGGGGGTGTATTCAATTGGGAATTTGAGAGATATTCATGGATTTATAAATTCATGGATTTTTATGAGTTTAACTGATTTGTAGAAATTCCATATAAAATTTTAATTCAATTCCTTCGAAATCTCATCAGGAGATGTGAGATTTGTGGATGCTTAAAATACACTACAAAATCTCTCTAAATCCTCAACTTTTCCAAATTCTAATTGAATACATCTGGAATGTTATAAACTTCTTTAAAATTCTAATTGAATACACCCAAATTTTTAAGAATTTTAATAAACTATTTTAAAATCCTGATTGAATACACATTGAATTTCAGAAAATCACTTAAAATCCTGATTGAATACGATTCATGAAAAGAATTAAAATCCCTCAAAATCCCAATTGAATACACCCTATATTCATTAAAAGAATTAAAATCCCTCAAAATTCCAATTAAATACACCTCCCTTAGTCTCCCTAACATTACTCTTAAAGAAAACTTTCCACTTGATTTTTAAAACTTTCCACTTGATTTTTATGGTGGCATCTTAGTGACAAATGAATACCAACAACCTAAGTTATTGGTGGGACTTGTCACGTCCATGATCCGATTTCACTTGCATTTCAATCACACGTTGATACACATATAATTAGTTTTAAGTTTTTTAATTTCCAATCGGCAATTATTGTTCATGAGAATTGAAATTGGTACCTCATTGAATAAAATAAAAATTGAAGCGTGGCAAGATCAAATCCTCGTGTGCAATAAAATGGTTGATGAAATTGAATTTATTAGTTTCAATGAACTTTGAACACACTATAGACGTATCGTCATGTATGTTGTGTAAATGTCATCACTTTTTTTTATTCATCATAAGAGGCTGTTTTTTTAACTTTTGATCCTCCCTTTGAAAAAAAAAAAAAAATTAAATAAACGTATCGTCATGTTCTACAAGAGATTTTTCAATGTACTTGGAACATCACATGTCATTATGCAATTGGAAGAAATTTTTTTTTTTTTAAGTGTCCCTTCAATTATATAATGACATGTGATGTTCTGCCCCGTATTCCCGGCACAATGAAAAATCTCTCGTTGTGCAATGATGTGCAAATGGTAATTCTCTCATATATCTATCTTTCACATGTAACAGCACCACGTTGATATGGCCGAGTTGGTCTAAGGCGCCAGATTAAGGTTCTGGTCCGAAAGGGCGTGGGTTCAAATCCCACTGTCAACATTCCTTTTTGCCTTTTTTTTTCCCTCTTGTTTTGCAGCCTTCCTTTTTCTACTGCATCATGTCACATGTTTGTTTATACGGAATGTGATCTAAAATTATTATGATTCATGACCTTTAAGAGTTCATTAAAATATGAATGTTTAATTTAATTTAAATTCTAAACTTTTCATCTATGAATAATATGTGAGTTTCACAATTAAATTCATAATCTGAAACTTAAAAAAAAAAAAAAATCAAATCAAGTTTATATGGTTAATTGATCACACAGCCGATCATTCCTTTTCCGACTCATAACTTTTTCTTTCTAAGTAAGTAAATATGTCATAAGAAGCAAAATAAGAATTTAAACATCATGGAATCTAGGTAAATAACCGACACGGTTGAATCCCACATGTTTACTACAATAACTATAATTTTTTACCTCCATGCGTATTAAGACACGAGTATTGAAATTATTCCAATTTCACACGTTTCTTGTGTTAGTGCATATTAAATATAAAAAAAAAATTTGAGTTTTCACATTTAAATTCGTAATGCAATACTTGAAAAATCAGGAATCAAATCACCTGATAGCATATTCATTCCTTTTTTCTCGTTTTTAATTTACAGTTTATGTCATTTCATGTAAATAAACATGCCGAACTCAAAAATTGTATCGGCCAACAAGTTAAAAGAATTTGATGCGCACAATGTTCCTCTTTTATTAAACAGCAAATTTCATTTGATGAATTGATAATATACCAAACGTTTTGTTATTAACGTGTTATTAAAGTTACCATCTGCACCTTATAAAGTACATACGTCAAATCCAAAGAAGTACTAAACTAAAGCAATGTTGTGCGTTCAACTGCATACCCACCATTTTTTCGGTGAACCTCCCAATCACACGATGTTACAATAAGAAAGGTCTGTTGGGGGGGGTGGGGACCCGGTGATCCAACGGTTCAAGTGGCAGGATCAGAGACCCAATCATGGTCCTCATCTCACATTTCACACTTTGAGGGTGAGCCCATCCCCACACGATGTTACAATAAGAAAGGTCTGTTGGGGGGGGACCCGGTGATCCAACGGTTCAAGTGGCAGGATCAGAGACCCAATCATGGTCCTCATCTCACATTTCACACTTTGAGGGTGAGCCCATCCCCACGTGCCAATCTGCCCGAAGCGTGAGCTGCCGAGATGGAAAGTGGGTTGCTTTTTTGGAACAAGAGGGCCGACAACCTTGGGCCTACCAATAAAGTTTATAAATCCTCGTCCAAAAAACAAATTTAAAAAAATTGTGAGGAAAGAAAAAGCCCAACCAAAACCGAAACGCACGTGCGACTGTAATTATTACATGCCCTTTCCTTCTCGTCTTTGAATTGCAATTCTTTTCGGATCTTTGTATCCAGAAACAACGAATTCAGAAATTCAGACTATTCATTTTAAATTACGTTGTTCTATTAATGTGTTTTGCTTGCTCACCGCGCACGAATTAAGAATCCAAGTCTCTCTTTCTTTATCTTCAGTAATTTGATTTTCTAAATTCTCAAACTTCAAACACAGAAATTCAAAGAGGATCTCGACTACTCATCTCTTCCAAAAGAAAAGTCAAAGAGATTAAATATTAAGAATAAAGGGGAAAAAAGGAAAAACCACTCCATATAAGTCCACATGAACACATAAAAAAGGCAAATCATACCCCAATTACGTTATCCGTTAGTTTTTTCATTGGGTTTGGGTCTTCTATAACGGACATTGGCATTCACGTTATTCAAATCTTTCTAAAATTGTGTAAATTCACCAATATACCCTTCTACTTAAGAATAGGATGTTTAAAACTCATGTGAGTAACGTTTTCTAACCCTATATATATATTTAGTATATTGGGGGTCAAAAGACCGAAGAAAAACAACTACTATTGACAAAACGGGTTTGAGGAAACCAACTGCATCCTCAAAGATCAATGTATCCACAAGAGGAGGTGGCACATAAAATACATGAAGATCAATGTCAAACTCAGGGCCTAATTCTATCATCAGCCACTTTATCATTTTTACGATAAACATGTGAAAGTGAGCTAATCCAATTCCTCCGCAATAACTCCTAGTAAGCAGTAATGAGATGAGTTTGACAAATAGATGGATTGACCAGTAAACATTTCTTGGATATATGTAAGACTGTTTGACCATAAAACATTTATCAAACTATATGCGAATGAAGGTTATAAATGTCTAAGACGGATATTAGAATATAACATGTGAGACAGTTTGACAAGAAAATTTCTCAAATTATATGTTAAATATCCTCGCTATCTATCTTCATCACCCGTTATGCCTTTTTTTATTCTTTGATTGATTAATCTCCTTGACTTCTCTTTTAAATAATTAATTTTAAAATAATATAACATGTGAGATTGTTTGACAATAAATAGAAGACGACTCTCTTGATTAATAATTTTGACTTTCTAGATTACCTTTCTGAGTTCCATTATCCCTTTGAATAATCCACAAATTAACATTAAACATGGGCATGATGGTAATTTGGGCATGCTTGAGTTGCGTGTATATATAGGGCACACAAGTTTTGGAATATCGCACAAGCTATTTTGCATCAGTCATATCTCTACTCAAAACCTTTCATTTGCTTCTTTTTTATCTCCAATGGATGGAGATGATCAAAAGGAGTTGCAGCTCCTCCCTTCTCCTCACTTGATGACATCTCGGCCGTCGGGTTCTTCGGTAAGATATCATCGATCAAAGTCAGCCGTGCAGGAAGGGCCTAATAATTCCCAGCTTGACCTACAATTATCAATCAGTGTAAGGCCAGCCAAACCTTCTTCCTCGGATCATTACGTCTTCGGAAATCCAAACACTTCCGAGTTTGATGCCTTGAATCCCAAGGCAGCCGGCCGCGTGGAGTCTTTGAAATGGCAGGCGGCGGAGCAAATCAGACTGGCGGCAATGGAGAAGGCCTACGCGGAGCGAGTGAGGGAGCTGACGAGGAGAGAGATGGAGTTGGCTCAGTCGGAGTTTGCGCGTGCCCGGCACGTGTGGGAGAGAGCGAGAGAGGAAGTGGAGAAGGCTGAGAGAATGAAGGAGAAGGCAATGCTTCAGATGGACTCTACGTGCATGGAGATCACTTGCCAGTCGTGCCGGCAAAGGTTTAGGCCGTAAAAAAGAAAGGGTCAGTTTGGTTCGCTGATTCAAGACGAGAGATCGAGAGAAGAAGATTTTTGTGTATTTCTTTCCTGATTGAGTATTGGATTTTGTGGAATGTTTCTTTGGAGAAAACACAAGGAAAATAATTACAAATTGATGAATACAATAAAAGTGTAACATGATGAGATTTGAACTATGTTCATTTTTTGTGATGAAGGTGTTATGTTTAATTTGTAAAATTTAGAGTTGAACCAGCCTATGCATGTGTGTTCTAAATGTTTAATTTGTATTCCAACTGGATAAGGTTGAAGGAAAATTTTCTTTTGATACGAGGACTAATCCTCACCTCTTACTTCGCATCCTCTAGCGATCCTGAATATGGTATACACTAGAGAGGAAAGAAAGCAAAATTCTATTTACACGAACCAAACTGGGTCAAGCTTGAAGCGCATTTTTGTTTTTGTACTAGGACAAATTCTCTCATTCTAGTTTGCACCCTCGAGTATCTCTGAAGATGTACACCGGAGAGAAAATACGGCAAAACTTTGATCACGCAAACCTAATTGGAAGAAGTTTAATTAAAGCCCCATTTTATATGCTGCATAATTCTATCTGAACAATTTATGCATTAATTGACTGGGGAACTTGATTGAAAAATGTTTAATTATCTGGAGGCTACAAGATAATTTCAGCAAAAATACAGCATATCTATTAATATGAAATAATTTGGAATCTGGACCCAAAAATTATGCTTCTATGAATGCCAAGGAACATAAACAAAACCAGACTTTTTAGGCTTCCATATCGAGCATGTGGACTTGGAGAAACTGACTCAGTTCATCAACCATTCTCTTAATTAAAGAGAATAATTAGGATTAGGAATTTAATTAAGCTAATTGCATTTGACTGACTGAACCATCATACAAAAGATTGGCCAAGATTGCATGGAATTCAGAGCAAAGAAAAAGTATCCTCTTTTATCAGTTTCTGAGCCTTTGCAGTTATGGACTTCGCAGTATCTGAACATATACAACAAATTGGCCTGTTGGACTTGGGTAGAAATTAGAATTAGTATGACACAAATTATAAAAACTACTTTTTAACCTAACTATGATTTCTTTATGCCAGAAAACGATATTTTAAGCTATATTCTTTAAGTTGATTTGGGTGCAATAAGGGAGGCACATAATCCAATGATATTCTTAAATCGCAAACAAAACCACAAAACTAACAACCTTAGTTTGAATATTTTACATCTCTTTCTAAATGTTTGAAGAGATTTTCAAGTTCGAATCTCTCTCTACTGATTGAAAAATGTAGTCGTAAGAAAACTCTAATTCCAAGATTTTTTATTTTACATGATTAGAATATGTATATTGATTTGAAACCCAAGTGAAGTGAAGACAGTGAAAGATCGATCGGGCTAGGGTATGGTCAAATCTGACGTAAAAAGGGTCAAGTTTCAGAACTTGATGTCGATATAGAAAGGCAAATGGCAAATGAATCAGAACAAAAAGGGGCAAGTAATTCAGCGGCAACAAGACATTATTGCTGTGCATCCACTTGGATTCAACCTCTTAAACTTTTGTTCATGAAACCAAACACCCACTACCCTTGTCTCCGATCCAACACAAAAAGGAAAGCATTTCTTGGGATAAGATCATGACTCTACTAAAAAAGCTTCAATCACAGCACTCAACAGTACTAGTGACCAAACATTCATCGATGCCTTATACGTAATGAGTCATTCATCCTTAACTGTAAATTATTGTCTGGTTGACGCTACACAAAAACATCTCATTAAAACCTCAAAAGTAAAAGTTTTGCCGACATATCGATTTATGAATGTCTTATTACATGTAAGGAGACAAGTATTTTCTAGCTAGCTTCGTTTGTCAGTAGCTTCTACACATAGTCAAATACAATTAATCAGGGAAGGATATATATGGTTGCCTACAATAATGCAATGACTTTGATTCTGGATGAGTTCATAAGAGCAAAAGCTAGACATAGTTTAGTGGGCACAAAGGGTCACAAACTTTCAAAAACTAGGTGCTTCTGAAAAGTGCAAGGAGGCATGGGAAGGAAAACAAAGGGTAATAAAAGATTTGGCTAATTATTTCAAGACAGATCCTTTATTTGATTTTCGAATCCCAGTATAAAAAGAAAGATACACTGCCTTAACTAACTGTATGTCATCCTCTTTTTTCACTTTTTGGGTTTACTGCTTAGCTCCCCAACTGTCCTAACATTAAACTTACAAAGACAGAAATACCCACCACCCTTCCCTTGTTCACTGTTTGTCCTTTGAAAAAGATGATTCCCTAAAACAATCTTTTGGTCTGCAGATATGAGCATGGCCTAGTGGTTTCATTATCATGGCTGCTTTTTATTTTAAGTGATTTTCCTTTGCATGTTTCTATATTTACTCCTGTGAAAAGGATCAAAATCTTCACCAATGAGCAAAAGAAAGGTAATATTTTAAAGAATTGAATGTACTTGTCCTATAGGAACCCAACAGTTGTTATCATGAGATGCCCTCTGCTCAAAAGTTGGAAACCAATGATGGAAGTTCATGGCTCTTGAAAGCATAAAAGTTAACAAAAATAAAATAAGGGTATTATAACTCAGTTGATTAAGAATATTCATTATTGAACTCGATATTCTGTGTTCAATGAAAGAAGTTAAGTTGAGGTTCTTTCTCAGGGTCAAGTGCCAATGAGGGGAGTAAATCAACTTTTTATAAGCCTTTATGAGGTTTCTTAACTTTCTGATATTAGAACAATTCTTCACATCCTCATACATCGATTTCACACGTAGGTAAACTTGCTATGATACTAAGAAGAAAATTGAAGTTCCACTTCAAAGCTGATTGTCGTGCAATTAGGAAAGTTGATCAACGTATATAAGCCCTTGCAAGGTTTGTCAATCTTTATGATGTTGACAAGTCTCCAAATCCTCACATTCGGCTCCTCTCTTTCTCAATACCATTTGTACCAAAAAAAAAAAAAATATAATTATAAAAAGTGCCTACTAATGTAGCCTAATTGATTTAAGGTCGTGTGGTAGCTAAGGTCTCTGAACTTATCACATGTTAGTTTTCGTCCTTTAATTCTCATATTAGTTTCTCTGTCAAATTTAATTGTATAGTGGTCTTTTTAAATTTGGCTCTCAACTTAACAGAAAAGTTGAAGGAATTAACCAAAATGACTACTAGTGCATCAAATGACATAATTTGAGGACGAGATAAACTATTAGTAGGTTTAAGGACGAAACAAAACTCGTGGTATATAATATATCATAGTCCTTTCCTAGATTTAGCCTTGATTTAATGTATGATGTAATCGTAAACTTTGATGATATATATACAGGCAGTACTCTGACATATGACTACCCACAGTATGGGTGATGCCTTGTCTTTGAATTTCTTATCTGCAGAAATACCAAATACTACCAAAATACGAGGGCCATCCATCAATTCTTTCAGAAGGTTGGATGAGCAAAGGGATAAAAGATGTAGGGCATCTGCTTGTTGAACCATCAAACTAGGCCATCATGACATAACCTTAACATTTGTCTTTTCATATTGTCCACTTATGATGCATTTGATGCTCTTATTTCTGTAGAGATATATACTTTTAACCATACATATAACTCTACATTTTACTTACTCTTACGATCTTTATTACATTAGGGTTATACTGTTGTACCATCCACACACACGACGACTATTGATTAATATTTACGTATTGGTGCATGGATGGTTGATATATTAGTATGAGTCATGACTTGAGAGTGTTAGACGATCGTGGAAATTAATTAAGGTTCACGTATTGGTGCATGGATGGTTAATATACTAGTATGAGTCACAATGCGAGAGCGTTAGACAATTATTGATTAATGTTCTCGTATTGGTGCGTGAACGGCTGATATACTAGTACAAGTCACAACTCGAGGGCATTAGACTATTATTAATTAATGTTCTTGTTAATGCGTGGACGGCTGATATGCTAGTATGAGTCACAACTCGAGAGCATTAGACAATTATTAATTAATGTTCACATATTGGTGCGTGGATGGCTGATATACTAGTATGAGTCATGACTCGAGACCGTTAGACATATCAAGTGAGACGTTCTTGGTAGGACAAAGAAATCTTTTTCCAATATCTCGTAGATGAGCAAAGGGGGAACCACAGAACCCACAGATATCACAAACAAATAGACAACACATTCATACGTTTGATATTTTTTTTGTACGAGTTCTACAGAGCATTCAAGTATTATTGTGGAGCATATAATTAACTGTTCATATGCTGTGCAGCATGACTGAATCTAAATGGAATTCAGAACCAACCATTGTCCATGTGGCACAGAATAATGCTGTTGATATTATCATAAAACCAACTTTTGGAGTTTGAAAAGTAGTCGAATTCTCGACATGTTAAAGACTTTGTCTGTATTTTCATTTTCAAACATTTTAATCACTTGCGAGGAGTTTGAGCACTGCTCAAACGTCTCAAGAGGAGTTCGAGCACTGCTCAGGAATCTCAAGAGAAGTCCGACCACTGCTCGAGCTCCCAAGAGTAGTAGTGCCTATGCTTTTACAATAACTGAGAGTTGGCAAAAGATTTGGCAAGATGTGGGAGACATGATAGGGTGGAGTTCATAGTCACATGCATTCATTTGTTCGTAGATTTGATCTGGGAATGTTAAATTTCCATAAATAATGAGACTTTTGTACATATGTTTTAACTAGTAACAAAATAGAGATAGACATTAGTATTATTGTTGTGCAGTCAACTCAAGTCTATCATCTTCCATGAACCAAATGGAGAAAAAGAGGAGGTCACTTTTGAAGATGGGAAAGTTCAGATGATCATGGATTCATGGTGGGACTCAAATTGTTGCAGTCATACATGTGGAAATGTGATTCACACCCCATTGCATCATTGGACTGTACCGTTATCTTGATATTTCACTTGTGTGAAAGTTTTTCTCTAAGAACATAAACGCTTGATTGATTTGACATACCGACATTTTGACGTTCCAGTTGTGTGAGAGTTTCTCTCTAACAACTAGAAAATTTATCGTCGCGTGATTGATTTAGAATACCGTCATCTTAATGTTCCAATTACCTGAACGATAAGACTGAGTTTCTTCCTACAAAAGAAAACTTATCCTGTAAAGTTTTTCTCCACCATTAAAATCCTCAAAATTTTGTTACCAGCAGTAATAAAAACTTTACTCGAAATTAACCAAGAAAAAAATGTTGATCACGTCGGTCCAAACGTCGTGACTAACATTTTTTATTGCAGTAGCGATATCCGACTATGGTACGGGAAACAGCGCCGTTATCACAGACTGTGAAATCGTTAACAGAAACCGCGACTTTAGTGGCAGTTAGCGACGGTTAAACGTTTGCCTCCAAATTCCGAACAAAATAGAGGGAGGAAAGGGACGATCACAGTCAAACCCTAAACCCTAACCCTAAAACCCAATCGAAAGATGCAGGAGAAGAGGCAAGGGATCACGAAGAAGAAGAAGTACGAGTTCGAGTACTGCGTGGTTTGCAAGCTCAATCACGACCAAGGTCCGAGCCACAAGTACATCCCGAAACACACCAAGTCCCTCTCCGCCTTCCTCTCTCGCTTCCAGTCCAAGCTCGCCGACGTCCGCTTCTTTCTCAAAAACCCTAGCCCTCTCCGCCCCGAACACGCGTCCCGCAATCGCCTCTGGTGCGTCTTCTGCGACTCCGATATCGACGAGCTCTATAGCTCCTTCGCCTGGTAAGATTTCTGTCCTTAATTTTCAATTAGCTGTTTAAGTTCTGTTTGTTTGCCGAGAAATCAAACGAAAGTGGTAGAAAATAGGGAGATTTGTGCAGTTTGTATAATTGGAAAAAAATTGAATCGTGCATTGTGATATATTGATATATATCACATTGGGTTTATGCTCTGTTTTTGGTTTTCTAATTGTCAGTGGTAATGCGATTAATCACCTTGCGACCGCTGAACATCTGAAGAATTTGAAGCATTTCTTGTGGAAATACGGTGGAGGAATGGACCGCATCGATACATTTAGAATTTCGGAAAATGAACTTGCTAAGGTATATATATATATATGCCTTCAGTTTCAGTCATCATTGATGTGATTTGTTGAGAAAAGATACTAGAATAGTGACTTCTAGTCAATTTTAGAGGCAATTCATTAACGAACGGTGATTATTTTGTGTCTGCAGTGGGAGAAGAAGTGTAATTCACTGAAGCTTGAAGCTGTGCCTTGTGGTGAAGGCTCTCGAGGACCAGCATTTGGACCTTCGAATGATATCCATACTGAACTGAAATATGGAATTATAGATACTTCTGAAAATAATAGTAATTCATGTTTTTCACATGGTGTCATTCCTTTACCATATCATACAAATGAGAATCAGGTATCCCATTCAGGACTCCCTCAAGATACAAATGTTGGCTGCTTTCCGCAAGCTGTTGCTAACGTTTCTTATCATGTGGGAATACGGTCTGGTACAAATTCCATAAATTCAAACGGTTTAACAGGTATGCATGTTCAATTATGTGATGTTGATATCATATTTATTATCTGTTTGGTTTGTATTTAATAGAAGCTCCTCCCGTATGAGTAAAAGGCTTATGTGTGTTTTGTGCCCTCTGCTGTGTGCTTACTCACTCACCCAGTTAGCAGGAGTACCCAACATCCTTTGGTTTCTAATGGTAGAAAATTCTCAGCTGATGGTTACTTCGATAACGAAAGGGTAAGTTTGATCATCCACACTCTTCACTAAAAGCATCTGTTTCTTGTGATTGCATTTATATGAATGGCTATAAAATCGGAAAACATGTGATATGTTTGGTGTAGATGAGAGAGGAGTCTCAGCATGGAAGAATGACAAAAGGGCAGAGCAGTTCTCCAGGTATCAACCTTTGATTTTTTTTTTTTTTTCTTTTTCTTTTTATGTTCGTATTCTCTCTGCTTCTGTTCAGCTGATCATCCTGATGCACAATGTATGCATAACTTGAGCAATGAGCCATCAATTCTTAGGAATTGTAGCAAAACTTGTATGCATCTGTCTCGAATCTGAATGGCTTGGCGTAGGAGGTTGATATGGTATGTTCTAGCTGTGGATCCTCATTTAAGATTTCTCTTCAGGTTTTCAGAATCTCACTCAAATATCATCCTTGGGTCCTAAAGAGGCTAGTGGAAATGTGCATACTGGGGCACCTCCTCCTTGGCTTCAAGCAGATGAAGAAATTCAGTTTAGTGTTCCACTGACACCAGTTTCAGGTAGCCTTATCTCCCTGTCAAATAAGTCGGGGAAGTCCAAGAAATTGAATCCAAACCGTGTCGGAGCAGCTTGGGCAGAAAGGAGAAAGAGGGAGATGGAGATGGAGAAAAGAGGGGAAATTGTCATGAGTGACTGTGATGCCAATTGGCTCCCTAATTTTGGTAGAGTTTGGCAGTCTGGTAGCCGAAAAGAGTCCAGAAAAGAATTTGAGTTGGAGAAACACAAATTACGTAAGGTTGAGATTCAGTCGGACATGCCAATTAAGATACAGCCTTATGTCAGCAAACGAATGGTGAGTTCCATGTTCCATCTTAGCTTTAAGTTTGTTGTGGAATTCAAGATTTTTAAAGCTAGTTTTTTTCCGTTTTAGTAGATTTTTCTTTGAAGTAATCCCCATTCCTCATATTGGTTGAGCATATTCACTCATATACATACTTAAACCCACTTTCCACCTCATGGTTATGAGGATGAGATGTCTGGCACGGCCCCAAAAAGAAGTTTCCACCATTGAGTCTCCAAAGGGTTTTTTTTTTTTTTTTTTAACAAACGATATTATCTACACTAAGGGGGTGGGGGAGGAAACTGACCCTAAACCCAAAGGGTTTAGTTTAGTGGCTTTTATTTTATTGCTTTGGGATTATAGATTTCTGAACTTATCACAGTCCAGACCATGCAGAGAACTGACCAGAGGCTTTCATTTTAGTGTTTTTGTGAGTAAAGTTCATGAAATTTAGGCAGACACAACACCACACACTCTTCAAGATTTACCGATTCCTTAGGCACTTAATTTGTTTCCCTCTTCTTGCAGAGAACTGATGCGAGTGAATAATTTTGCCGTGATGGTTATGCAAGTTGACAGTAGCTCCAATGACAGACATGTCGGAAGAATGAATGTGCATGTTCTCTACTTTTTCCCTTGAATTTGGAGGTGTAGATCTCGTCAAATGGAGCTGGAAGTATGAAGGCAGGCAGGTAGCACACTTGTGAAATTCAACCCGAATTTGATTATTAGTCTACTGTACAAAATAGAGCTGTAAGTTCAAACGACTATGGCACTCATTTGTATCCAACTTGAATTTTTCCTGATAAAATATATTCAATGAAATTTTTGCCTCAGATCTTATGCATGTTGCAAATGAGAACAATATTTCTTTGGTGACATTAATGCCTAGATCATCTTTAATTAGTTCATGTTCAAACAGTGTAATTAGTAGAATTGATTTTGTTAGGCACTGGATATCAGAGCCTGCAAGGCCCCGCACTTGGACTGCAGATTTATCATCTGTACATTTCCGCATTCCAGTCATAGACACAGAGATTTGCACACAAATAATGATTCTTATTTGCAAAGAAAATAAAAATAATTGATGTAAATCTTTGTCTACTAGGTCTCTGTACCCCAAGAGAAATAGAAAGAGCTCCTACTCTGTTTGTGATTGAAATCTCACAATTTGAAATAACCGTCTTTCTATCTTCAATGTTGAGCTGGTTCACGAGGAACTGCTTTGGCATCTGGTTTTCCTACTTTTTACCACTGCTCTATTGAAAAAGCTTAATAATCAAAGGAGCTTGTTCTTTGTACTTATAGCTCAGGGTGACAAGCTAAATTATAAAGCTATTATGTTACTCTATCCTAATTGCTTTGGCAGGGCAAAAATTTGTAGAATTTGATTGGCTTGTGATCCTAAAGTTCCATAATCTCCCCTTGGAAGAAACTAAGTTCTCATCACACAGAAACTCCCAGGAAAACCACTTCTCGATCATTCGGTCTACATCATGCACTACCACATGCGTAATGTTTGCATTTCTTGCTATCATACTAGCAGAATAGATTGCTGACATCCTACCCGGTTCCTCTGGTGCATTCCCGCTCGGTCCATCCACCACCACCACATCCCATTTAAGCTGGTAAACTTCTTGTGGTAAATTTTTCAATGCAAGTTGACATTTTGATCGTTGAAGCAGTTTTGAGCTGGGTGCGCAGTCTGGGTGTTCCCTTGCGTGCTTGAGCAGCCTGTACGCCTCTTTTGCAGGTATCTGGTAGTCCACCTTGTAGACTCTGGTGGTGTTGGAATTTGGTTTCAGTGTGCTTATCTTCTTTTGATCATCCTCTAGAAAGACAGTGATGCCGCCTGCATTGATTGATGACAGAGACATATACTGAGGTTCAAGCCCGAATATGAGGAGGTTGCAGGGAGCTTTCTGCGAAATGAGATTCAACAGCAGTTGGTATTCCTTTTTCATGAGGCCGGAGGTGTTGGCAGAGGCGTTTGTTTCTGCACGAAACTTGGTGCATGTGGAAGAGAAAGAACATGTCTTTCCAAGAGTAGGAGGAGGAGGAGGTGTAGTTACAGCAATTCTAACAAGTCTGAGCACCGAAACGATCGAAAGGATCAAAACAAGGAAAGGGAAGAGTTTGGTTCTGGAAAAGTTCATGGCTTTAGATCCTCTCGATTGCTTGTGTCTATGAGGCTGGCACTCTTGTGCTTCTGGTGAGACAGGAGAAGAGAACCGAACCAGAGGAGTTACGATAGAGCGAAAATGAGGCACTTCTGGTGGCATTTTTTTGGGTCTCTCTTTTCTTTCACCTCCTCTGCAGCCGCTATCACACCTTGTAAGGAGATGTCCGGTGGTGGGGTATTTGATGGTTGAAGCAGTTAGGCTGAAGGACAGCGTGGTGGCTCACCGGCTGGTTGAGTGAAGACCAAGTAAAGGTTTGCTTTGGTTTCAAGGGTTTCTTTTGTTTTTTTATTAGTCAGGTGCGTGGTTGTTACATAATAAAACGCTGCGTTTTCTTATCCAATTGCTATTTGTTTACCTCTGGAAAATGAATAACAACAATTTCTACGGGTGAGTAGTTGCTGGGCAACTTTCAATGACTTTTTTTCCACCATTTGTTAGGTTCTAACAAAGTAACAATATGACTGATGATTATTGATTTTGATGGCTTGTAGGCACCGATGTAAACGATTTGGGAAGTGATTTTCACACATCATTTTTCTTCCATGGTGCACACTCGTTCACTTTTGACATTTCAGTTGAAGAACTCAATGAAAGATTTGAAGATAGAAATAAAGATGGGCGTGCATAATGAGAAAAAAAGTGTGCGGATATCACCTCTAAAAGTTTGTATAGTACATAGCTGTTTTAGTCACGACTTGGGTGCTTTGGAGTATGGCGTGCTCTGAATATTCTAACCGCTAGATCTTGATTTTTATATTTTGAAACAAAGATCTAATGGTTAAGATATTCAGAGTATCCGTTACTCTGTACTCATGCAGTACCCAAGAAAGTACCGTCACATAATTTAATTATTAAAAAAAAAAAAAAAATTCCCTAACTGAAGAGCCGTTGAAGCATCCGACATCGAAAAGAACTAAGAACATTCAATGATTCTACGTTGAACGCTGAAAATTATGACATCCTCAAACTATTAATAATGGTAACATAGTTTCTCCGCCTCATTGCTTTACAAATGGAAAGTGACTTTCACTAGCTTCTTACGCACCCCACATTCCTAGTCATCGGATTTAATAAATCAAACAAAATCAACGGCTATGATTAAACATGAGTGCGTAAGTGGCTAAAAATGGTGCGTGTATCATTTTCTGAGAGAGAGAGAGAGAGAGAGAGAGAGAGAGAGATAGAGATAGAGATAGAGATAGAGATAGAGAGAGAGAGAGCTAAAACCTAGGAGGTTTGATTAATAAGAAATGAGCCACAATGATTGGAGTCAGCAACAAGAGAGAAGATAGCCCCACGTTATTCCTAGTCATCGGATTCAATAAATCAAACAAAATCAACGGCCATGATTAAACATGAGTGCGTAAGTGGCTAAAAATGGTGCGTGTATCATTTTCTGAGAGAGAGAGAGAGAGAGAGAGAGAGAGCTAAAACCTAGGAGGTTTGATTAATAAGAAATGAGCCACAATGATTGGAGTTAGCAACAAGAGAGAAGATAGCCTAAATTATAGAAGACTGCACATTTAATATTACACAGCAGTGATTTTCCAACGGCTCTGGATCAATAGTCTTACCAGGTCTTTAAGTCATCCTCATAAGAAAGAACAATAATATTAATTCAGCAATTCAAAAATCATCCGCCGATCGTTCCTCCATGCCCCCCACGCAGCAAATCATCCTCAAATTAGTCTCTTTAACTGCATACAGAAATTGGAAACACTCGGTATTAGTATTTGTTTCGAGTTACAAAGTTTCGTGCTACAGCTTAGAAAGTTTCATGCTAATGGTTCAATGATCACAATTATACGGCCAATCAGCAAGGTCACCTTTACTGATGCACCCAAGGAACTAAATTCCCTTCACAAAATGACTAGTTTGCAGAAGGAACTAAAATCCCGGAAGGAATTTAAACCGACATAAACTCAACAGGCATTTTGAACCATCACCGCGAAATGCAGGTTTTTTAATGCATGATCACGATGTTTTGTAATATACAGTCCATAGCAGGCCAGCAAAGTGATGGCAAAGAAAATGCAGAAGGTAGTCCGTTCGGAAGATAAATCAATCAATCGATACAAAGCAAATTGGCTTGATTTCAGTTTTTGGGATGGCAAGTACCTGTCGTTTAAGTTGACTCGAGACACAGAAAACATAAAGGCAACTCTGCAAAGAAGATCATCGGACAGTATCATAGACTACTGCAATGGTTCCAAGACCACTCTTCCCGTTACATAGAAGGTGAAAGTGTGAAACTCATAAGGAATTTGACTTGGATCATCACTATACCACGAGTAAAGGGAACATCTTTATCGTGCTAATAATTTTCCTTGTTCTCCTCAAACTCTTTTCCCCAAACAAGCAGATCCATAAATCACCAAGCCATTGAATTTGAGTACATAACCCCATAGCAACAATACCCACAGAAATACTAGTTTCAAGAGTTGGATGCAAATGGCAGTCTCAAGTTTCATGTTGCGTCAACTTCGATACTATAAGACCTATTCCAACTGGGAGTAAAACTCAAATTTTTGGTTCTAAACCTACCCCAACTTGCTCCAACCCTTAGCAAATATGAGTTTTAACCCAAAACTCATTTCTGCGGCAAATTTAGGCCAGATTCCCTTGGGTTAGTGGGGCTGGCTCACCATATATGTGTATTTTTTTTAGTTTTATATTTATAAATTCATTCTCTCCAACAGCTAAGATCTAATATGATCAATCCAATGGTAAAAAAAAAGATCTAACGGTCCAAATTTAAATCCAACCGCTAAAGTAATTAAAAATAATTCTTTTATGTGTTTCATATTATTTCTTAGTGTTCCACGAGTTTCATGGTGTTGGCTTAGTAATTTTTCAATATTTATTGGAATCTAAATATTTTTAAGTTAAAATGTTCATAAAATTAAATTATGAGAGTCTACTTAATATTTTTTTTTTTTTTAAATGTTACTTCTATAAAACAATTATCCTAAATTCATTCTTTAATAAAATTTAACCTAGAAGAATTGGAGGACAAAAACTATTTCTGGATTAAAATCTAAATTTTATAAGTTAAAAATTTTAGGTTTTAACCGAGGGTTGGAGATGGTCTAATTAGATTATCCAATTCATCCAAGATTTCCATTTTCTTAATAAGCAATGAAATATAATCTTTGCAAACTCGAAAGTCCGAATCACACAACACTCAAATGCTTCTCTTGGAATAAAGATAAGTTATGCCTCGAAACCTATAAAATTTAGCTCCTTCATAACTCCTATTCAACGCAGAAGACACTCACAAAGAAACCATTTCAAACTTCACAAATTAAGCTACACATTTCGCCTAATCACGCTAACGAAAACAGAACATAACCGAAAAGAAGCTAAATTTGTCGAAGAAGCCGTGAAACTGTCACAAACCCAGTTACTCAATACTTCAAAAGTGCAATTCCCACATCAAGAATCATCAAAGTTTTCCGAAAAGAAGCCACATTTCGATAGATAAGTACGATACACAGTACCTTTGACCGTCGAGGTTGCCCTGTCCACTGCTCCCTCCACTCCCGTACGACCCATCATCCGCCGCAGTCTGCCACACCGACTGCCACGCCTGCGACGGCGGCTGCACGCCGTAAACCCCAGCAGGGTCTACCGCAGGCCTCCCTATCATCATCCCTCCGGGGCCACCAGCCGGCTGCCCCATCGGCGGATAGTAGTACGGCACCCCACTAGCCGTCGCCCCGACCATCCCTCCGAGCCCCACGGCCTCCTCCTTGATCTCGTCGCGGGGCACTATATCCACCAAGAAATCGAATATGTCGGTGCGGGTAATGGCAGCGGCAATGTCGTTTTTCTGGAGGGTCCGGCGCTTGTTCTCCTCGGCGTGGAGCCAGGAGCGGATGGTGAGCTCGAGGATGAAGAGCTCGCAGGCTTTGGCGAAGAGGACGGGGGCCTCGGCGGAGATCATGCGGACGTCCTCGTCGGCCTTCATGATCTTCTTGATGCGGGCAAGCGGCAGCTGGTGGTTCTTGAAGTCGTTGACGCTCTCAATCTCGTGGCGCTGGTAGGTCCAGAACATCTGGAGCTGCTGCTGCTGCTGCTGGAGGAGGTGGTGGAATGGGAGGGCGGGGACGGAGGATTGGGTTGCTCCGTAAGGAGAGGATTGGGCTTGCGGTGGTTGCTGGGTCGGGGCGGCGGCGGCGGAGGTGGGGGCGCCGGAGTTGGGGTTGGGGTCCATTGGTGGGATGGGGAGGAACCAAATGGTGGGTTTTTTTGGGGGGAGTGGGGGTGTGGGATTGAGATTTGATTTTTGGTGATTTTTGTGGTGGGGATTTGAGGATTTCAAGGGCTGGAGATGTATATCATACGAGGGGAGAGAGAGAGGAATCGAGACAGGGATGGGATATAATACAGCACTGCAGATGCTCGTTTATTGGGAGGTTTTCTTGTCTTCCAATATGCTTATACCACCTAAGTATTTTTTTTTTTTTGTTTTTGTTTTTAAATACTGAGATATAAATTAAACCAAATGACAACGGTTACAACGAGTTTTCATACACTCAAATAAATAGACCTTGTGAGTCACAATAGATAACAATCTATCCCACACATAGAAGATTATTAAAATGAAATCTAGCACTGGTAATCGTATCTGCTAAAAAATTTGCTTCTCTAACAACGTGAGTCCAAGAAATGGAATTAAAAAAAAGGCCGCCAAACTTTTAAACGCCAAGGAACATTGGAGGATCCTAAAATGGTATCAATCACTAATTTAGAATCAACTTCCACACAAATTTTCTTAAAACCTCTACTTCTCGCCATCCAGAGAGCATCCCACAAAGCCGCATTCAGCAACAGACATTGAATTTTCCCCCAAGTATCTAGCAAAATTGCACATTACACATAGGGCAAGTAGCAACGTTGCAATATATCTCCCACCTTTTAGTGTATCGTTGTATAAAAAATTAAGTAATCATTTATCATTGTTTATTTTTTATTATATTAACTTCTTTTTTTTTTTGTAAATACAAATAAGGTATAGTTGAACGTTATCAAAAGTAATCGACGAAGAGCCTTCTCTTAAGTATCCTACAGATGCAAAATATGTTGCAAAGTATACATATTTGGAGTGAATATTTTATATTACTATTTTGTTACTTAGTACTACAGTCTAGTGATATTCATCTTTACTTGTAAGTGAGATATCTTAGATTTGATTCTCGCCAAAGACGAATTTGAACCATATTATTGATAGCTCATTGTGAGATGAACACACTCGTGCCAATTTGTTCGAGTTTCGTATTGACAGGTGAAAAAGAAAAGATATTTTATACAAACGTCTCGCCCATAAGAGTTTCATACACTGGAATCTTGAGGAAATACAATATAGAGGAAGAGTTATTTTGAAATGATTTTCGGTCACCAAATTTCTATTTCTGCACGTTCCTGCTTATTTATGTTTGTTAAATTTTGTTGGTTTGGTCACTTCAAAAATTAAAAATGAACAAATGTGTGCTAATGGGAAAAATAATACTGCAAAAATTGCTTCCTTTGTTATTAACCCTTTAAAATAGTCACCATATGCATCTATCTCTCTCTTATGCTTTCATCAGGCATAAGTGCATAATATAAGTCTGTTATAAAACTAAAAAATTAAAAAAATAATAATATCGAAAATCTAAGAATTAAATCTCTTCAACCATGATGCAAAACAATCTTTTTACTTATTTAATATACATGTATCATAGATTTTTTTTTTTAATTTGTCGATAATCTACTTATATCACATATAAATCATTTTTAACTACCTATATTATAAATATTTTTTACTTGTAATCAACCTATTCGGAATTAGTTATATTTAATTTATCTTAAACACATTTCGCTTGGAAAACTTTATAGTTTCTTGATATAAATATGTTGTAATTAAACTTAATTTAGAAAATAGGTTGAACCACAACAAGTGGCTCAATAGTTGAGGCGCGAACTACGACTCTCCAATAAACAAAAAAATGTGAGAGATTTCGAATTCGATGTTCTGAACCGGTGAGCCTTTAATAAAACTTGCAAGTTAGGCTTGCCGACTATTAAAAGGATTTAAAAGTCAATGAGCAAAAGCAAACACTTTGTAGTTGACTTATGCCTACTGTCCCTTACTTTAAACAACATTTACCAAAACAAGAACGAGAATCTCGTATCCAGTTTTCATGCAGTGCTTTATTCTAAGACACTCTCGAACTCTCTAAAAAAAACTTGTGCATGGACCCTCGGATCACGCTATTTGTAGCGTCAACATTCTTCCTACAAACACATAAGATTTTATGTATTTTAGTTTTACTTGGTATGACAACTGCTCTATTGAAATTTTCCGTCATCTGTAATGTAGTTCTCACGAAAACATAAGACTTTATGGATACGGATCTCATCTAGTGTTGGTTACCTGCCGAAGTTTCTCTCTATTTCTACGTTGCATTTTCTTAACCTACCAAACATTATTTTTAACTCCTTTTTGTGCAACTCAGTTTTTAGTACCATTTGCTTACTCAAAGCTATGAAAACACAGGGATTTCACAAGTATTCCTGCAATCTTAGCATTTTCTTTAAAAACCACAAGACCTGTAGAAACTTACTAAAACATTTACAAGACAAATACCACGATTCGATTCGAAATCCCTCAAAAATGAATGTGAAATGCTGAAATTTAATACGATCAAGAATCAAGTATATGATAAAGTTATGAGAACAGCAATCAAAAGCAAGTAACACGAGGAACTAAAAACTTGAATATTTCATTCAGTTTACTCTTTCTGCTTTGGCTCAAGAGTTTATCCAAGTTTGATACAACACAGAAAACAAACCCATAAACCATTTTTTGGTATACCAATAAAAAGATCTAGCAGCTCCTAGGTCTGCATTTTCGACCAGCTGCAACAACATCGAAAAAGTCCTTCTCCGGGTACTAAAACTTCGAAAATAAAAGCTCCTAAACCGTTGTTCAAATTGAAAATACAACTGAAACTTGTCTCAAGGGCATTTGCACGCCTTCGGACTAAACTGTGGATTCATCAATATAAAGATACGAGGACTAAAACCGATATACCTTAGTATTGCGACTCATTATAACTGATCTGCTTAATTGGAGAAGAAGATGCAGGAAAAGGGGATGAACTTCCAATTCCACGGGTGGATACGAGATTGCGAGTCTTCTACTTCTGTTAACGACCAGTCCACTAAATCTGCAATCACTTAGCAGTCGGCACCCTTCTTTTTGTCTTCCCTGAAACATTTCCGACTATACACTAGCAACGTCGGCCCTTGGTGTTCCTTCTCCCTCTTCATCATGTCTGCCAAGTCTTTTTTCTCAGCCTCTTCTATCAAGCCTGTTTCTGTAGTTACTTTGCCATTATCCACCAGAGCCTCTTCCTTGGTGGTTTTTGACAATCCAACTGGATCTTCACCATCACATCCTTCACCTGTCACCTCCATGTCATCCTCATATTCTTCTGATTCCACCTGAAGCAGTTCCAAGGGAGTAGCCGCGGGATCAAGCTCCAAGCATCCTTTCGGAGCATTGTGACCTTCATTTCCGGTGAGAATTATAGAAGGGACCTGGTGAGAGAAACGAAAGAGTTCTTCCCTTGGAATTTTCATGATTTTACTTTGGTCCCAATGTTGGCGGAACACTGTTTTGAAACCCGCTACTTTAATCAGTGGGACAATTTTCACGCCTTGCTCCTCGTTGTAATCTTCAAGCACTTGCACCATATCATATTTCTGAATAACGTCATCTGGGGTATGTTCGTTCCAAACGGGGGACCAGTTCCTGAACAGTCCCCAGACTTCTCCTTTTGATGGATATATGCAGATAACTCCTCTTTTACCTTTTGTCCACCTAACCACCTTGTGTGAGAAAGAAGGAAGATGGTCATAGACTACAAGCTTCCCTTTCCGAAGTTCCCCGCTAGTCTTAGAAAAACCACAAGCAATCCAATCTAGCGGAGCAATCTCGCTGTTGGTTTTGGCGTTGAGCCAGTTCATGCTAAGTTTGAACGGTTTCAAAGATATCACACTGTGAACCATAGCATAATAACGGGGCATGGCATCATCTTCATCGTAGACGGCCCAAACCTGGTTGCTACCAAATGACTGTTCTGTACGATCCTTGTCGAAATCATGAAAATCAGGGTCTGGAACAGTCATTTTCACTGTATCTTGTTGCTCCATATCAGTGTCCACATGAGAATTGGCAAGGGAAGACTTCTTGGGATTCACAAATGCCGTACATCCTGTAACACTAGTTTTTACACCACGCTGACCAGCTTCTTCCTTTTGCTTCTCTTTCACCTGGTTATTATCTGCAGCAGCTTTTGGTGTAAATGAAGTCTTCGACGCAGGAGCCTCCTTCCACACTTTAAGCTTCTGGGAAATTTCTTTCTGAATCATTCCTTGCAACGCACTCCTCGCTTGTATTTTGGGCAGATCCCCTGTGAAGTTAAGTCCATGCGTTCCAGCTACATCAAAACTTCCTGTACCAACACTACCATTGTTAGGTCCGAATACACTTTCCATAGCAACTCCTCCATTAGTCATTCCCATCTCTTGCCCGCTCAGATGCCTTTTCTTCGTAGGCATCTCTTTGTTGGGTACGGAGCTAGAAGCAGAGGCAGGAGACTCAGACGCTAAGGCAGCATCTGTTTTCTTAAAAGCATCAAGATTGCACGTATGCGCCTCCTCATTTGGAAACGCCTCTTCATGCCTTCTCTTTGATTCCCCAAATTCTTGGCGAACGTCACTTGCAGTTTGACCAGCACAGGAACCTGGTACTTGCCCACTGTCTAAATTTTCCGGTTCGAACAATTTGCCTGCCAAATCTTGTGTTGATGTGTCAACTCCAGAATTTCCAGCTAATCCCACATTTATGCTAGCAGTTTGTGAACTTCCTGGAGCACAGGTCTTCTTGATCCTGTTATGCTGCCCAGAACTCTTTTGCTGAAAGTAGGAAATCCATGGAGAGGATGTCAGATTGGGTACTTTTGGGGCTGGTGTCTCAAGAGCTAAAAAGCCCTGATTGCAGTTGCGACACAGAAGGTGGTGGTTCAGATAAGTCTTAAGATACTCAAAATGCATCTTGCAACTACTGCACACTGTCCAAAATGTCTGTTTCGGTAGAGAAGGAGGTCTACTAGGCTTGGTATTGCGTCTAGTAGGCTTGGTACTGCGTCTAGTAGGCTTGGTATGACTAGCACTAGCACTACTCTGATCCCTTCCGTTAGAACGATTATCGTTGGAGGAGGTATGGAAATCATTCCGGC